TTTTTGCTGTGAATTAAAAACATGTAGATGGAAGACTTAAAGGACCACTCACCCTCAAATCCACTTTTTTTTTGCTGATAAACGGTATAAATGAGTGTCCAATAGTGTTGTCTACATATCCTGGTCATAATCTTGTCACTTTGGTGCATATTAGTTGAAAGTTAGACTTTCTGCCTAAAACCGTCTGTGAGGCGCAATCTGCTGGCGACCTGTATTACTACAATTGAATTTTGAATCTGGCGCCAACACTGGCGCGGCAGCAAGACCTGACGTCTGAAGCAAGACCTGACGTCAGCAGCCCCCCGCCCAGAGCAATGTAAACGGCCCAGTCTCGTTCACGCCCCCTTTAGTCCTCCAGGCTACGCCCATTTAGAGGAAGATTTGAACAGGAAATGTGAGTGACGTAAGCTCCAAGGAGCGGGGGTGAGAACCACTTTAAATATAAAGTAGTACAAAGTTGATTTTGATTTGTTATTTTGCCATCCGGCTGTCTTCCCCACGGTGAAAAGTTGACACAGGTCCAAACAACACGCCTAACTTGCACAAAGAAAGTCCTGTATCGATGCGCTATTTAGTCCGGCGCTTAAATTTATAGCATATTTTATTAAACAAGTTTCCAAAGTGCTGCACAAAGATAAAAGTAACACAACTGTAACACACAGGTTTGCCAGCGTTATGTTGATTTGAAAAGGGCGCCATCTTGGATCGCCGGGGGTTGGGTATAACATGCCATGGCTGCACAAATAATCATTAAGACTTTCGATTAGCCCTCACTAATTAGCAGCTAATAAAGTGCTAATTAGTGTACCCTGACAATAACCATAACCCTAACCAATTGGCCGCCCCTCATCCAAAAAAACATACAATATTATCTGAAAAGAAACAGGATTCAGATTCAGATTAACTTTTTTTGCCATTTGCAGTGAAACCACATTGGAATACATTTTGCAAAATTCTCCAGTATGCACCAGACAATAGGTCTTTAGGCGATTGGAGTCATTTTAGACATTTTACCTGCATTTTATTCATGTGTTTGACCCAAGAATCAAAAATCCCTATAGAAAATTCAACATTTTGTCAACAGTGAAGTTCTGGTTTGACTTTTTATGCCACCATGTTTTCAGTCCCAAGATACTGTACAAAACGTTATAAGAATAGTTTTGTTCCCACTGCAGTCTCCTTAATGATAGAGCTCACTCTGGAGTCATGACTCAGCACCTTTTGTCCACTTTCTTTTCTCTACTTATCTGTTGTGTTTTCATTGTTATTTGTGTAAATGCAATATTTCTGAAAAACTTTTGTGTAGGTGCCAAGTCTCTCTCTTTTTAACTGCTCAAAGAATCTACCCACGGCTACAGTTAAACCTTCAATTCAAATCTATTCCTCTCAAAAAATTGTGTAAATGCAAACAACACAGATGCTATTTTCTCTTTTATAAATTGTCCTTGGAGGTGTGCACTGCAGCTCTATATCTCCCCCCAGTGGCCCCTACCTCACTGCACCTTGAGACACCCCCCCCCCCCCCCCCTATCTACTACCTCCAACCTCCTCTGTCCTCCCTGACGTCTTCATGTACAGTGTCTTTTGAAGCGAGCACCGAACATAACTCCGCATTCCACTCACGCCTGGACAAAGCCGCCGGAGCGAGGGGTATTTCAGAGGCCCTCGTGTCCCCCTTGACCGCATCGGCTTTGACGGACGGGCTTTTGTACGGTGGCTCAGAGGGGTCAGACGGTGGAAAATAATGCCCCCAGAATCAGCAGCCGCCGCAAAAGGGGGAAATAAAGAGTGAGAGGGCGTACGGCGCTGACACACAACAAAGGACATGTGTGAGCTTTTGTTTTATTGTCCAGACAAACACAATGAAAAACACAAAGTCTGATCTGAAATATTTATTCAGTTGTGACATTTACACACGTTTTCCATAGGGGGAGAGGCGTGATGTTTCTGGACTCGCACATACACAAGGGCACATGTGTGGCGTGGAATATAGATCGGCGAGTACAATAGGCACAGCACGGTTTGGATCAATATTAATGAACAAGGCTGGTTGAATAGAAGAAACAAAGAAACAAGAGTAGCTTTTTCTTATCTTCCCCCCCCCAAACAAAAGTAGTTAGTTTGACACAGGTCAGAGATGAATGTGAATGCTGTGTTTTTATGGGGCCAATGTCGGCTATTTGTGAATTTCAATCTGGAGAGACCACAAGAGACAAGATGCGTTTAAAAAATGTATTGATTGCGAGTTTTTTTGGTAGTTTTTTAGTTGTGGCCTTTCTCTGTGAGGATCTCGCGAGCAGATCCTGATCCCCCGAGGCCTCGACACTGGTGGTGGAAACAGGGCAAGGTGGATGTGAGCGAGTGAAGAAATCCCCAAGGTGGAGGTGGTTGCGGGTTCAAAGGCTGGTTGGTTTGCGGTGTCCAGGTTTTCAGCGCCGGCTTGATACGCGGCTGGGAGGGAGTTGATGTAGGGTTGATGTGAGGCGGAGGAAGGCGTGGACCCGGTGCGATGACGTAAGCAGTCTGTCAATTTGAACTTCCGCTTAAGCTTCAAATGTTTATAATTTTTATGAGTAGAATTTGCATGTTCTCCCCATGACTGTGGTTGCCAGTTTTCTCCTACCGCTAAAAACATGTAGAAAAGGTCAAATCCTCTAGCTCCACACGTCTTGACCGAGACAAGTCAGAGCAACGTTACTCTGGAGCGACAGTAGCTCAGTTGGTAGAGCATTGGCCCTTGAGCCCGAAGATTGTGGGTTCGAGACCTTCTCCACTGACTCTACTGATGTCTGCTGCCGTTGTGTCCTTGGGCAAGACACTTAACCCACTTTGCCTATAAACAGCGTGAAGTGATTTTTGCTGCTTGCCTTGATGTGTATGTGTATGTTTCAAATTGACATTTCCCCACTGTGGTACTGGTTTATACTGTATATATTGACTTATTTTGACTGGCCAATCAAGTGTGACCTGGAGTTATAAAGTTATCGGGCTGCTAGCACTCTGTTCTGTGAGGTTGTCTGTGTCTGTATGTAACTTGTTATTTTTTAGTGTCATTAAATGTCCTTTTTTATTGTCCACTTGGTTTGGGCCTTGTATGTACAGCTAGTATATAAGCATATTATATAAGTATATTACAGGAAGTTTATATGTTAAGTCTGTTGCTCAAAACTTAGCTTATTATTAATGAATGAAAGTGACAGAAGCAAAGCCAGAGCGGATAAAAAGCATATTCTGACATCTCCAAAAGTCAAACAAAGACAAAGAAACTGTAAATATACTATAATTATATTTTAAAAATGCCCTTTTCAATCACAAACAAACTGCATTCTCACAACAGGAAGAAAAACCGTAACATTTTACTCTTACTTTCCAAATGTTATGTGAAAAAATCCGACTGAGTCCCCACCCGCGGCTGTGAGCACAAAGGCTTCCCACAAAAACAAAAACGTGCAGAATGAGCGACTAATGCAAAAGCTCTTCTGAGAAAGAATTATCATAGGTTTGAAAAACATTGTTTCCGTGCCGCGTCCACATTAGACCGGCGTAAAGGTTAGTGATGTTGCATACATCCATTACAGCTGGTTACAAAGGCTGAATGGGATGGTAATAAAGGTCAGAATGCCCAGAGCAAAATGACATTAACCAAACAGAACTAATCTAAAGCACAAATGTTAAGAGTGTGTTGTGTTTGTATGGAAGGCCTGAGTGGTCACAAAGGTCTGATTGTACATCCGTAAACAAAGAGAATACGGCTTTGTAATAACTTTATCCATCCTCAAACAGGACAGGCAGCTGTGTTGACCTGAATCTCATTATTTATGTGTTTAATCCAAGCAAATAGTGTTCAGAGAAAAACAAAAAACAAAATAAAAGGTGAGACGTACAATAACCTACACACTGAAGCTTGAAAGGGAGTGGGGTGAGGTATAACTTATTGGTCAAGGTCAAGTTTATATATATAGCACATTTTAAAAACAGACAGGGCTGTCACAAAGTGCTTACCAGACATTACAAAATACAACACACAAATAAGATACAGCATAAAAATAAAATGCATAATAAATGTGTCAATATTGCTTGTGTTAAAAAGCCAAAGCAAAGAAATGTGTCTTTAGCTGCGATTTAAAACTCTCTACAGAGGGGGCAGCTCTGAGACAGTAAGGGAGAGCGTTCCAGAGTTTGGGCCCTGCCACAGCAAAGGCTCGGTCTCCTCTGGTCTTTAATCTAGTTAGTTTTTAGTTTTAGTTTATTTGAGCAGTTAACATTTTTCTTCCTCCAATGTTTCACAATCATACAGTTAATGAAGCTCAAAGGGAGTAGACCTGGGACAGTGCAGAAGAAGCTGGTCAGAGGACCTATTGGTGATCTCTGAGGAAAAAGTAAATAATAACTGCTTACTGGTTCAATTATGAAACTATCAATTGAAGTAATGCATCATTGGGAAATCTTAAAGATGATACTAAGAAAATAAAACAAAAATCTCTAACTCTCTAGCATCAAAAAGAAACAAGTATAAAATCTCTTTTCTTTAGCATAATAAGTACAAAAACTCTGACTTTAGCATGATGAAGAAGTTTAATATCTCTACCTTTGGCATGATTAGAAAATAAAAGAACAAAAGTTGCTTTGGAGACACTTTAATCCAACTAAATTACAATTGTCATGCTCTTCAGGTCTCCAGAAGTCTTTTCACTGCCCATGTAACTGCTGTTTCAGATCTATTGGCTACAAAAGGATTTTGTTAGTTTCATACAAACAACTTTGTCTAAATGAGATGAGATGAGATGATACTTTATTAACTCACAATGGAGAAATCCAGGTTAAAACAGTTCTGTTTGACTGTGCATACAACTGAGGGATTGTATATGTTTATTTTTATTTTTAATGTACTGTGATTCATGATTTGACTGCTTAATGTGCCTTTTTATAAACTGTGCTATACAAATCAAATTGCCTAAAACCTGTAACATTAAACACATTTCTTGTCCTTTGTTGCAGACATGAAGCGTCCGTTCAGCCCGTCACTCCTTCTAACCACGGACTTCCCGGCGCTCTCGGTGCAAATGGACGCTTGCAACGCCCAAAACTTGACCGCGCTTCACCCGGACTTCCACCAGGCTCCACACGGGGGCGCCCTACACACCTCCTCCTCTTCCTCGGCCCAGCATCACAGGCCGAAGCGGGAGAGGAAACATCGCAGCTTCACTCTCTGCGACGTGTGCAACATTCAGCTGAACTCGGCGGCTCAGGCCCAGATCCACTACAACGGGAAGTCGCACCAGAAGAGGCTCAAGCAGATCAGCAACGGGAAGCTACGGGAAGTCGCCACAGGTAGGAACGCAAAAAAAGAAATTACAACGTTTACCAAACGCTGATTTGCTGAGGATGATTTTGTTTTGTTGATGTGCAGCTCAACAAAACAGCATGTGGTCAGACATCTTGTTATAGATTTTGGTCATGGCAACAGTTGCTAGGGAGATTTTGCTACCGCTTGACTCATGAAGTTGTTCCTTTCTCAAACATGTTTTTTGAGGGTGTAGAGGACCAAATGCATGTATATGTGTTTTTTAAGTTGTGAATATCTTTCTTTTGAATGACCATGGCAGAAGAAAAGTATACATCCTTACTATTGACCTAACACAGTGTATCATATTTTATTTAATATTCAAATTAATAATAATAAAAAATGTTCAACAAGCTCACACACAAAAACAAACTTCATAGAGATAACACATGAACATGCAATTAATAATCCATATTTTCTTATTTTTCTGTACGGACTGATTCTAACGAGCGCCGCCACTGCTCGGTCTCTACAAAAAGGCCGCGGTCTGATATTTCTCTGTACAGACCGAGCAAGCGAGGTAATTTTTTTTATTTGTTTTTTTATTTTATTTTTTTTTATTATTTATTTACACACCAGGTGAACATATACATAGGGACAGTCAATAAGCAAGCAATACAAACAATGTTAATATTAGTTATAGAGAGGACTTAAAGAAATATATAACTATACCTGTGTGTGGGTGGGTGTGTGTGTGGGTGTGTGGGTGTGGCTGTGTGTGTGGGTGTGTGCGCGCGCGGCGGGGTTATTAACCTAAATGGGGGGTAAGAGTGACAGATATATAAGATGTAATACAGTGATAGACGGTATACAGTAAGACCATTTACCAACGGACTACAGAATAAATAAATAATAAATAAAATAATAATAATAATAATAATAATAACACCAACAACAGTAATAATAATAATAATAATAATGGTAATAATAATAAAGATAAAATAATGATATAAGTACATCAATAAACTAATCAATTAACGAGTCACAATAACAGCAGGACAACAGTAACAATAACAACAGAAAGGAGATTCAACTATATCAAATCATTAGCCTCTTAGAGAATTAAGATGCATACATATACACACATAATTATTATTAATAATAATAGATAACTGTCAACCTATTTATAAAATAGATATATACATGTATATCAATCAATCAATCAAATTTTATTTATAAAGCGCTTTTCATACAAAAAGTGTAACACAAAGTGCTTTACAGTTTAGTTAAAAACAATCCAACATGCCCAGCCCTAAACCCTCCTCCCCACAGACCCCCCAAAATCACATTTATAATTATATATACAACACACACACACACACACACACACACACACACACACACACACACACACACACACACACACACAAGTATAAAGTCATATCAGGTAAAATAGGTAAAACAATAAAAAGAAATGGGGCTGGGAGCAGATGTAACCGGCTGAAGAAGCGTCATCCAAGGAGCCATCTGCACCAGGAGCAGAGAGCCGGCTGCAGCCACAGGCAACGACACAGGACCCAGAGGAGAGAGGAGCCCCAGACCCCACCAGGCCCAGGACTCAAACCCCATAGGACCCAGAGGAGAGAGGAGGCCCCGGACCCCCACCGGATCCAAGAGCCAGTCCCCCGAAGCCACAGCAGACCCCAGCTCTCAGTGCAGAGGGCTCCTCCAGAGGAAACACTGGGGACACTAAAACAATACAATAATACAATAGAAAGTAGAACAATAGAATGTGAAAATAAAAAGAAAAATGGCAGCTGCCTAATATAATAACAATAGTAAATGGGTAGATACAATAAATAATTAAAAATAGTAAATAATAAAAATACATAAAAATATAATCCGTCTAAAAACATAAATAGATGTACTAAAAAGCAATAATAGATAATAAATACTAATCAAAAGCTGCTCTAAAAAGGTGCGTCTTGAGCCTACTCTTAAAAATATGAACGTTCTCTGCGGCCCTGAGCTCCTCCGGCAGACTGTTCCAGAGACGGGGGCCGTAGTGCTGGAAAGATGCCTCGCCGTGAGTGTGTGTCCTGACTTTGGGGATGGTTAGGAGTCTGCTGCCGGAGGAGCGCAGGGGCCGGGAAGGCTCATAGGATAAAAGCAAATCTGAAAGATAAGAAGGCCCAAGACCATTAAGACCTTTAAAGACCATTAAAAGAACCTTAAAATCCCACCCATACATACATACATATACATACATACACATACACACATATATACACATCTATATAGACATATATACACATACATACACACATACATACACATACACACACACACACATACATATATACAATACACATATATATACATATGCATACACATATATATACAAATATATATATATACACATACACATGTACACCCACATACTGTACATACCCGCACAGTCATGCATATACACCCACACACATACTATACAAACATATTACAATCGATTTTTTCCAGATTATTACAAGTTCCAACATCATATAATGTTGGAACTTAATGGAGGCACACGAAACATATTATATTTTAAAATTGGCTATTGTTTGATGTTATTATTGATATTATTGATGATGTATGGTGTTTCCCCTACATAGTGAGGTGCATTAAAAAGAGCCAGGGTGTGAAGTGGGTCCATTGGTGAGGCTGGTTGTTCCCCTCCAATAAACTCTCACCCAGCTGTCCTAACAACTGAACAAATGTTGGCTATTGAGCTGAACTATTCTGTGTAGTGCATTAAAAAGATGGGGATAAATGAGTCCGCTATGAGGGGGAACCTCACAACAGACCCATCTCCCCACTGCCCCAATCCTAAATATTTTCTAGCGGTGATAAGTTGTATGTTAAATGTGCCTCCTACACAATGTATTTTATTCATTTGTTTATAATTATATATTATTATTTTTTCCTATTATTTGTGTGTGTGTATATACACATGAATACAAGCTAGCTTATACATATAGACATAAATAATGGCATGGGGGTACATGTTTTACAGTCATAAACACAATTATGTATTTATTTGTTTTTAGTAATTATTATTTTAATATTGTTAATATTCTATTTATTTTTTATTCTTCATTTATCTATATTTTATTTATTTATCTTTCTTTTTAAGTATGCAAGAGGGCGGTCAGTGCGGAGGGTGTGTTGTCTGGGTTCATGGATGTGTTGTGTAATGAAATGTAGTCTACAATAAGGTTTTTCCAAATGGCAATGTGTATGTTGGCCTTTGTTTTCCAGTTTATGAGGATTACTTTTTTGGCGATGGCTAGCGACAAGAGAAGGTGTTGTGTGCTGTGCTGGTTGAGTTTGATGGTGGATGTGTCACCTAGTAGACAGAGGGAAGGGGACATTGGGATGTGGCAGCCAAATAGTGTGCTGAGTGAGTTGGTGACTGTTTCCCAGAATGTTTGGACAGGTGTGCAGTGCCAGAGAGCGTGAATGTAGTTGTCCTGAGATCCTTGAGTGCATTGTGTACAAGTGTCTGTTGTGAATCCCATTTTGGCGAGTTTGTGTCCGGTGTAGTGGGTTCTGTGAAGGATTTTATATTGAATGAGTTGGAGATTGGAATTTTTGGTCATTGAATATATGTTTTTGCAGATTTGGGTCCAGAAGTTGGCATCAGGAGCAACTGCTATATCCTGTTGCCATTTTTCTGTTGGAAGAGATTGTGTTTGATCTGCTTTTCTGAATAGTTTGTATATTTTTGAGTTTAGTTTCTTTGTGGAGATATTTAAAAAAGATTCAATTGAATCATGTGGTTCCAAGTTTATTGGAGAGCGGTTATTGATTTTGGGTTGAATTGCTGATTTGATTTGATAGTATTCAAGGAAGCAATTGCTCCTGATGCCATACCCCTGGACCAAGTGTGGGAGTGGTGAAAATGTTCCGTTTGAGATTATGTGACCAAGGTGAGTTATTCCCTTTTCTACCCAAGAGTGAAAGTAAAGAGGTTTGTTGTTGATTGTGAATTCAGGGTTGTGCCAGATAGGTGTGTGTATGGAAGGAAAGAGTGGTGCATTTAGTAGTTGGTGTAGTTTCCACCAGGCTGCCAGAGCTGCTGCTATTGTTGGAGCTTTGAAAAGGGGATTTTTTTTAATAGTGCAGTTTAAAAAGGGTAGGTCTGAGAGTTTGATGTGTTTGCATATTGTTTGTTCGATGTCTGTCCAAATTGTATCTGCTGTGTTTGGGTGGATCCATTTGTGTATGTACTGTAGGTGGGCTGATAATGAGTAATGTTGGAAGTTTGGTGCGTTGAGTCCGCCCTGAAGCTTTGGTTTCTGTAGTGTGGCGAGTTTGATTCTTGGGGGTTTGTTTTTCCAGTAAAATTTGTTAATAGTTGTGTTGAGGGATTTGAACCAGGTCAAGGTTGGTTGTACTGGGGTCATTGAAAAGAGGTAATTGATTTTGGGGAGGATTGACATTTTTATTATTGCTATTCTGCCTGTGAGTGAGACTGGGAGGTTCATCCAACGTTGGAGATCATCTTCTATTTGTTTGATTAGTGGAGTGAAATTAAGAGAAAACAGCTCTGACAGTCTGGGGGAAACCTTTATTCCCAGGTAGGTGATGTGGTGAGTAGAGAGTGGGATTGGGGGTGCTGTGGCTGCCACATCCCAGCTGTTTGGATGTAGGGGAAGTATAAATGATTTGTTCCAGTTGATTGAATATTGTGAGACTTTGGAGAATGATTCAATTAGGTTTATTGTATGGCGTAGTGAGGATGTGGGATTTTGTAGAAAGAGGAGAATGTCGTCTGCATAGAGGCTGATTTTGTGTTCTATGGTTTGTGTTTGGAATCCTTTGATCTGGTTATTTTGACGGACTGCTGCTGCGAGAGGTTCTATGAATAGTAGGAATAGAAGTGGAGAGAGTGGGCATCCTTGGCGGTTTCCTCGGTGTAGAGTGAAGTGACGTGATGTTTGACCATTGGTGATGACAGTGGCTGTAGGTGAAGTATATAGAATCTTTAACCAATTGATGAATGAGCCCCGGAAACCAAACCTCTCCATTGTGGCAAACAGGAAAGTCCAG